AGATCCCATGTAGTGTACTTTAAGGTGCTTTCGGAGAGTGCCATCGCTCAGCGGGTGCGGCGAGCCTGTACGGACGGGAAAAAGAAGAAAGCTTTGGGAGGGCCATCGGCTGTTACTTTGTATAAAGATTCCGACAACCGTGATGCACTCACAGAGATGCTCCTCGCGGCACACTTCCAAAAGGACGCTTGGAACCAATCAGTTTCCATAAGAAACTTTCCCCAATGCAAGTGGTGCACATTTCCCTAAAAATACATTTCGAGCAGCCGAGGGAAGTTTCCGCAACCAAGTCACGAAGTTTGTGGAACGCGAGAAGTCCAAAACGAGAGAGATCCTGGCTGGATGGTACACGGAAAGCGCAATGAACAGTGTCCTGAAGATGAGTCCGTTCAAGCCTTATAATGTTTCGAAACCACAGTGTCACTTGAGTTCATAGGACCCACCCCAGAATCCCAAAACAAAGTAAGGGCCGACATCAAGGATGTCGTGGAATACACGAAGGACAAGCCAGACCTGAGGAGGCACGTTGTATACCATGTATATAATCCCGGGTCCTATCTTGAAAATACCTCGCTGAAAGTTCTACGCCAGGAAATACAAGTACAACCCGAAGAAGCTTCAGCATTGGGTGGAGAGTTCTTGGACAGGCAAAGTCACAGACTCCACGAGGGTGGTTACCAGGAACGAAACCAGTGGGACAGGCACCGAGGTTCCTGAAGAGGCTGATAAGGCATTGCCAGATGCTGGCAATTTGGACGGCTGGGACAATGATCAGCCGGACGCCAATCGGGAGAATGAGAAAGCCAAGCGCATCACCGAGGAGGATCATCAACTTCATATATTATTATGCTTTTCCTTAACTAGTTGTGATATATAGGGTTGCATCGTCAAACTCGAATCAGTGCTAGGATGCTACGAGCCCACATAATTACCTCTTGGACTGACCCAAGCTTAGGACGTCACCGACACAATCGAGAAAGGGATGAGTGATTTGCTGGCCCGCATCGCAAAGTTGCACGACAGCGTCGCCAAGTTGCGAAAACCGTACAATCCCGACCCAACGCCAGCCCACGACAGGCCTTCGGTAGCCCGTAGACGAGTCTTTCCTACTGGTACTTTTTCTCTTTCGCCACCCGGAACAGGTATGCCAAACAGCTGGAAACCTCGGCTGAGTCTATGGAGACATCTTACGATGTATTGGCCAATCTTCTGGCCCAGCAGAAATCCATCACTTCCTCCCCGAAGCCAAATATGAAGCAGCTTGTTCGCATTGGGGCCCAAACCAACGTTTTAAAGTTGTGGATAGCTCATGAGCGAGGAATGCGGTGAAGGAGGCCATCAAAAAGGCGAGCGCGCAGTCCCTGAGTTGCAATTATTTTTTTTTCAATGTCGCGAGACTTCAACACCCGAGGGTTTCGAAGGCTACGTCCGAAGAGGCCCTGGCTCTGTCACCAACTCAGCACAGCAAGATCACCAGCACCGTGGCATACAGTATGTACTCAATTAGTGCCCCCCTCAAAACATTCAGGCCCCAGATCCGGGACATCGACAAAAGCAAAAAGATTGTTCCGGCTGCCGGGAAGGGTGCTGCGACCCCAAAGAATGCAGCGAAAGCTGCTGCGAAGGGTAAGGCTAGGGCCAAGAAGTAGGTTTCACGTTTTGGGTGACTGTTGTCGAGAACTGTCGCCTTCATGCTGAGATCCCGTGCATAAGCGATTGCATACACACATACGCACATACATACACATACAGTTACATGCATGTATATTATTACATACACACAATATTGGGGACATGTGAGCAATGCTGTGCACGGGTGGCATGCGTGCTACTTCTCACTTCTGTGGTGTCATAACCGTGGGGAAGCTTGCCAGACGAGCTCAAAAAGAATGCACTGTTACTGCTAGACTTAGCTGAAATCTGAAGCTGAACTCTTAAGACCCTCTACCATGCCAGGTGATTTTCGGCAGCGCCTTCAGGTGGCGAGAGCTCTTTCGCGAGGAGCTCCCCGACGCCGAAGATGTGGCCAAGGGGTGTGGCTTCAGGATATGGGATACTTAGAATCGGGTTCTGGGTTTGTATTTTTTTAAAAGAATGTAGATATCCCGAAGCAATTCCAATAAAGTCGGTAGGGTTTATACGACTATAGTCGGTCTGGTGCAACCCCAGGAAGAAGTCATTTGTTTTATAGGGCATTTGTGTATGTAAATGCTGCTCACAAGGCCTGGGCCCAGAGGGTTTAGGGAGGTGCTTAGGGGGTTAAGGGATCTTATGCGGGTTCAGAGGGCTTAGGGGTCCAGGATTTTCAGAAACCCAGCAACTCGCGAAGGCTTAGCTTTGCACTCAACATATGCAGCCCTGTCAGTTAAGCTCCCAGACACCTGAAGCCTCAGTTTAAGGAATCCTTATATAAGTTAGTTGATATTCTCCTAGTTCAACTATCCAAATAAGATATGCATGCTCCCGAAATAAATCCAGACCTTGCCAACAGAAACGTTTCCGAGGCTACCGGTGCAAGCGTTTGGGAAGATGCTGTGTCCAGGCGAGAAGAGGAAAACCCCACTTCGAAAAAATCAATCTTTGGCCGTATAGCCCGAGGGAGCCAACACCGAGCCGAACACAATGCCTTCAAAGAGCTGCTAGTCAACAGATTCCAGCATTCCATGTAAGAGTGGGTTCCGATTTTGATGTTTGGGTCATCTTTAGGATGTGAAAACAAATCGCGAGCATCATGAGGCTTAGAACCGCTGGACTCACTCTGGATGTTGAGATTGATACCATCGAGGCTGGTCCGGCCAGCACCATGATTCCATGGATCGATCCTTTCAAGATGGTATGTACTCTCGCCGAGCATGGCAAGTTGGATTTGCTTCATCCTGATCTAACCAATCTTCTTGAGTTCTGGAGCCGATTTTCAAAGGTTTTTCCTGATCATTGGGTATTCAAAGCTGCATCAGATGGTCAGCTTACTCTTTCAAGAACAATTCCTTTCTATTCGCACGGGGATGAAGGGAGAGGAAAGCGCAAGAAGGGAATCTTGCTGTGGACTATGAGGGGTGCTACTGGACAAGGCACAGCTCCTTTCAACTCCAGCCACTCCGAGGATGCCCGGGCTGAGCGGATGGGGATGAATATGGGCGGGAGCCTGACCTCAAGATTTTTGCACGTGGCGGTGCCAAAACATATTTATGGGAAAACAGCCGAGCCCGTATGGGATGATATAGCCTTTCGAATTTCTGCTTCGTACAAGAGACTACAAACCGAAGGATTCATCTACAACGGCAAGCTGTATCATGCAACATGTGTGGGTTTGACTGGCGACAATCCCTTTCTTGCGAAGGTTGGGCACCTGCAGCGAAGCTATGCTCGAGTCGAAAAGAAAGCCGGCGATGTTGCTGGACATGGAATATGTTGGGTTTGCATGGCGGGGACCCCGTCTATTCCATTCGAGAATTTCAATATGCATCCCGAGTGGTCGCATACAGTCCTGGACGTGCCACCATGGCCCGAATTGCCACCCTTTTTCGCAGGGCTTGGCTGCTCAGCTGACGATCAATCGCTTCCGAAATGGTTGATGTTTGATGCCTGGCACAACTTTCATGGTGGGATGGGGAAGAATATGGTGGCATCCACTGCTGCTGAAATCCTTCAATGTATGGACACAAACGAGAACCTCGAAGTGAGACTGCAAGAGATGAACGATGCCTACAAAAAATGGCGTGAAACCTCGAAGCTCACCTTGCATCACGGAGCAATCGATAAGGAGTTGTTCGGAATGGAGTCAGGCCTCCAAGCCTGCCCTGTTGGATCGTGGTCAAAATTTTCTGACACACGGGTGCTCATGGCTTTTCTGGAACACTTTTTACGACAGCGACGATACGCCGTGACTGAAGTCACCGAGTTGGCACTTGAGGGTGTGGCTGCTGCCAATCTGTGTTTTCATGTTTGCTACAACTCTGGCTATTGGATGACATCGGACGAGGCTGGGAAGGCTGGTCGAGCAGGGCTTCGGTTTCTCGCCTGCTACGCCCGTTTAGCTGAGTGGACTCTACGAGAAAATCGTTTGCGATATCCGCTGATGCCCAAATCCCATTACCTGCATCATGGGTTCAGGGATATGTTCCTGCTTTCTCGATCCTGTCGCTGGGTGCCGAACTTGCTCCATTCATCGGTGCAATTAGATGAAGACATGGTGGGCCGAATCGCCCGATTGAGCCGGAGGGTAGGATCGCAGCTGCTAATGCAGAGGACGCTGCAAAGATACTTGATTACGGCGCATCTGGCAATCTTCGACGCAAAAGACCGATATTCATAGAGCGTTAAAGCTATCCCATAGCCCCATTTCAAGGACCCAGAGGCATTCAAGCTTCAGATTTCAAAGGCCCAAAGGCATTGAATATGCAGCTTTCCAATGGCCACAGGGATTTCTCATGAGCATTGGAAATAAGATTTTCCGGGTTCTGCAAGCGTCTGGATTTTTTGCGAGGCTGGATTTATCCGTCCTTTGCAAAAGGCCGGAAATAAGTGGCGCAGGGTATCTCCAGGTAAGGTTTAGAGATTAGGGTTTAGGGTTTAGAGTTTAGGGTTTAGAGATTACCTGGACCCTAAGGAACCTGCCTTTTTAGGGTTCCCTAATATGATTTCTTTATATAAGTCCTTAAGAAGGTAGGTTACTTGGGGTTAAGGTAGGGTTTAGAGTTTGGAGCTTAGGGTTTAGAGATTAGGGTTTAGAGTTTAGGGTTCAGGGTTGACTTTGACCATGAATAACCTACCCTTTTTTGGGGTTCCTTATTATGACTTCCTTGTAAAAGTCCTTAAAAAGGTAGGTTATTTGAGGTTCAGGGAGGGTTTAGGGATCTGGGAAGCTTGGAGTTTCGGTTAGCGATTCAAAATGGGAGTTTCCGAAAATAGGGGGTACCTTATTTGGGGTCCTTAGAATAAGGATCCTACTGTCTAGGGTATTATATCAGGGTCCCCATTTTCGGAAAGAGACGAGCAGCTTAAAGCTTTTCTTGTTGACTTCAGGCACGCCCAAGGCCTCTGGCACTGCACATCAATCCCGGGCTCTCAGGTCCCGTTGTTCATGATCCGTCTCGTCGACAAAGGGGGTTTAGGGCTTCTGTGCTGGGTTAACTTCCAACCTTTAGACCTGCAGTTCATGGGTGTTGAAGGCTTTGGCTGCAAGGCAGGTGTGATCGCAGGCAAGATTCCCGCTCAGGTATCCAGTTTGGGAGTAGCATACCACTAACGGCCAAATAGCCCCGAACTCAGCAAAGAGAAGAGCCCCAAGCCGAGTACCCTGTAAATCTAGAGGTGACGCATGGCGCGACTTGCAAGAACAATATAGCAGTTTCAGAAAAGCACGGAACCCTTTGCATCAAAGGACTCCGAAGCGGAAGTCACTAGCGGTTTAAGCTTACGGACTTCTGCCAGGTCATAGCGCCCTCAACGAAAGGAAGGCCACATGATGTTGTAAACTGCCGCGCTCCCCACCACTGCGTCCGATTTAGGGCTTATAGGGCTTCGGTCACTACCTCACTACCGCTGATGTTTCGGATTAGCAGTTCGGCTTCTACGGAGTTTCGGTTCAGATTCCCAACTCGTGCACCCGCACCCATCACCTCGCCCACCATGAACCCTAGACCCCCCTCCTTGAAAGCCAGACCCGACAAGCCCTCTGCCTTATGGAACCGAACCCTAAACCCAATAAGCCCTACCCCAAATCCTAAAACCCTAAATCCCTAAATCCTAAAACCCTTGACCCTAAAACCCTAAATCCAAGCCTTCAAGGGATCCTTCAACGGACCCCGCAGCTTGCCTTGGCCAGGCTGGGGATATCTTCGTGTTGCCAGGCCGCCACCACCGTGTCCCGAGGCCCCATCAAGGACCTGACCTTGGTCAATCTTCGATGTCCCTAAGGGCCCATGTAACCACATAGCTGTTTACTTTGGCCCCAATGTACCTATATAGGGATTACTTAAAGGCCAAAGTAGAAACTGTTTGGGTATGCTTTTTTTTCGGATTTCGGGCTTGCTGTGTACTATCTACCAGTCCATCTATCGATCTACATGCACCGTATGTCGGTAAGACTGAATCCTACGTGATTACATACATAAGCAGAGAGACACGGGGGGAGAGAGAGAGAGAGAGAGAGGGGAAGCGAGAGAGAGAGAGAGAGAGACAGAGACCAAGAGAGAGAGAGAGAGAGAGAGTGGGGTAGACCGAGAAGTGCAGAGCGTAGAGGTCCCTGAATACACACTCGTCGATCGGATTAAGAGCCCCACGTGCTGCGCGAAGCAGTCGGCGTCTTTCTGGCGCATTGGGGCTGCGGTGGGTTGAGATGAGACATAAAATCTAGCCGGCTCTTATAAGCCCGTAATGACTCTACATCCGAGAAACATGGAAAACCCACACCACCCTCGACTCCTAAACACCCAAGACACAATTCTCTAAGCCATGAATTCGTCGAACATGGCAGCTAAACCCCGGCTACGGTTTAGGGTCTATAGTTGGCTATGGATGTCAGCGTCTGGAGGAGCTTCGACACTGACTTTCACCTTCCCGACAGTAGAAACCCACAACATGCCCTCCGGCCTTACTATCCCGCCTAAACCCTAAACCTAAACCCTCCTAAACCTTGACCCTGAACCACTGTCTCAAGCTCCCTGGTCCAAGGCTTGGGGTCTTTGAGATACAGGCTCCTAAACCGAAAGACCAAGGCTCCATGTACCTATATAGTGTATGTGTATAATATATATATATATACATATATACACACACACATGTATGTGTGTATATGTATATGTATAGACATGTATACTTAGGCCTTCGTTGGTACCTGCATAGGAGCCATTTTGGCCCAAGTAATATACCATATGACTACCTTAACCCCACGTAACCTACCTTTTTAAGGACTTATGTAAAGAAATCATATTAGGGAACCCTAAAAAGGTAGGTTCCTTAGGGAGGCTTAGGGAGCTCCAAAGCTCAGAAAGTCGCGGCTCCTTGTCGCAGGGTTGCTGCAGCTCCAGGCCCAAGTTTCCTGGGTTCTTGTGAAGGGAGTTAACCTAATTTACCATATTAGAGACACCACATTTTTTACTCTAGATCCCTATTATTGTAAGTTAAAAATAACTAAATTTAATTGTTACCATAATAGAGAAACCACATTACGTGCAAGAGACTCAAGATCCCTATTCTGGTAACTTAGGTCAAAATTTCGTAACAAGAAGCAAGTTTCGGGCCAGGGGTGCTGCAGTGTCCCGCGGCCGTGTGGACTCCCCTGGTCCCAGCATCAAAAGGAATCTAATGGCGTGATCCTGCAAGCCTCATATGCCCCTAAAGACCTAGAGAGCCTAGGCCCCTTAGACCGGGACTCTGCCAATCCTGATACACCTGCCGAAGCCTTGAATCTCCAACAAGAGTGCACACCCTTAAACACGTCCGTATCCCTGGACCATGATGAAGCCAAACAAAAACTAAAGCGCTAAACATCCTTAACACTGTACCCCTTCAATTCTGAAGCCCTTACCTAAACAACAAGCCACCTTTCACTCTGGATTCCTCCTCTCTTGAGCTATCCATTGACAGCGAAGCAGTAAACCGAGCAGGCCCAAACAAAGCATCAGCTTATCTGAAGCGTAAGTTCAGCAACAGTGGTGGCAACTAATCTACAAACTGCAGCAGTGCAGAGTACTGTAAATAATCCAAACTGACACCCAAAACCCTAAACCCTCCGACATCTCCTAGTGCTACTTAAAGGATCATGAGACATAGTAACTCAGGCTATTTGTAGGGTAACTATACTTATAACAACTTATAACCCCAATTAATGTACTTATAACCTTATACTTACTAAGTCCCATGATCCTCCAAGTACACTCTTCTCATCTCTTGTGATCTATATTGACATAGTGAGCGTCATCTGGCAACCCCTGCCTTGACGCACCTGGCTCGCCATAACGGCTGTGGCTTTCCCATATGGCATCCTAAGATCACAGTTTGGAGAGTTTAATTTAAGAGAGTAGGGTCTAGGGAAAGTTTCAAGCTCTGGGAGATTTACGGAGTATGCAGGGTTCAGGGCCACACGTGATCACTGGTCAAATAAAACTGTTGTAGCACTGACTATTGCGACTCAGCCGTCACATGTTTTTTACACGGTGCCCTTGGGACGCATTCTCGGCAGTAGAGCCCTGTCAAAAGTGGACGACACTGTCCCACCAGCTGAGGTGACGACACTTCACTGCTGCGACTGCTGCTCATGCAGTTCCTCGGTGCGCAGCGCCGCTGGTGATGAAAGTCAAGCCTAGGGTTTAGGGTTCGTTTCGACACAACACCAAAGTCGGATCATGTATTGCCTTCTCATGCTTTCCGCACCATCTTCCAATTGCTTGCCTTATGGCAGACGATCCATGGCAATCCGAGATGCCAAGGACCGAACAACGGGTCATGAACGAGCCGTTGCAACGCTTTGTTGCACTGGCCGCTGGTCGAAAGTTATGAAAAAGCTCGGGATGTAAGTTTAGTCGGCTTCATTCGGAGGTGCTTACCTTCTGTTCCATGATGATTGGGAAAGAACCTTCACCCAAAACTCCCATACCGCAAAGCAACCCTCAATGCAACAGACAATACCGAAACGCGAGCCTGAACCGACAGCCTAAACCGAAGCTCGTCGAAAGACGGATATGAGGCCAGGTTCGCCAAATACTGTGCTCGGTGCTTGCCCACCACTGTCAAACCAGTGCCGCAGCCCTTGCACTTCCTGAGGGCTGTCGTTAAGTTTCAGGTTGTGTCGGGTTCAAACGGTCCCTCTTGCGCTTCGGGCATTGGGCTACAGTTCTCGCCACTTTGTGCCCTAAACCCTAAACCGCAACCTTTCTGAGTTAAACTCAAAGCTGCACATTCCGGGACACAAACCAGTTCGACTCCCTAAGGCGGATACTGGAAGGTGCTTCTGGGTTTAGGGTTTAGGGTTTGGGTGGAAGGTGGTTCTCTTCCACATTTTGCAGCAAGGTTCCAAGAAGCCTTCACCGCTTTGCGAGGGGGCAGCAGATCTCGTTTGCCAGACAAGTTCAAGGGATCAGGGTGTAGGGTTTTTAGGGATTGAAGCTTGCAGGTGCAGCTCGTGCTCGCCAAGAGTCTCACCGTGCCGGACGAGGTTAATGACCGCCTTAGATGCTGCTACTATGGGAGTTTCTTGTAATTTCAGAGGGTACCTTATTTCCGCGGGTCCGTCTAATCTTAGGATAAGCATCCTCCATTTAGGGTCTACATCGGGCCCCTTGATTGTTTCTAAATCATTCTAAATCTTTCACATACTCCCTCCTGTCCCGTCGACAAACGAGGCCCCAGTAAGACTAAAGTATCGGGACGTCGTTGCCGATGGGAATCTAGAAAAATGGCTTTGAGGCTTGAGTAGATGAGACACTGTACTAGCATAGGCCTTAAGTTCAAGCCAAAAACGAAACTCCAACCTCCAAACTATGTGCTTAAAGTAGGGACCTTAACATACTTAAGATTGGGATGGATTGGGTTTTGGGGTAGACTACAGTGTGGTGTTTGCTCCTCCGACAGACTGTCAACGACATGGAAAAGCCAGAGCCTATGGCTTCCGGGGAGGGGGCAGGCTGGCGGAGTGAACAAAACAACGATACCGTTCAGGTATATGAACCCCCGCTATCCAACTAACATAAGGGTACATTCGTAATTACATACACACAGACGTACATGCATACATATATTCATAAAGAGAGAGCGGTGGGGGGGAGGGAGGGAGGGAGGGAGGGAGGGATGGCGGGGGAGGGAGAGAGAGAGAGGGGGAGAGACGGATACAGAGACAGAGTCGGAGACAGACAGACGGGCAAACGGATATGCATGCATTGCATCCATACCTACATACGTACAGGCAGGCATGCATACTTAAATATACATGCGTCATCCATGCACAGATTTTCAACATCGCACACGAGGACCTGCGTTGGTCGAGCATCCAGGGGATAAACCAAGTTGGGATTCATATGCTTCGGCACTTTAACTCGGATGCATATTCTAAACAAATACACTGTAGATAAATATATATATATATATATATATATATATATATATATTTATATATATATATATATATACATATACACACATGCTTACACATGTATGTATATATATATATATATATATATGTATACATATATATATATATACATATATATATGCATACATATATATATATATATATATATATATATATGCATACATATATATATATATATATATGCATACATATATATATATGTATGTATGCATATGTATATATATATATATATATGTATATATATATGTAATAGTTTCAACAGGGCCGATTTCGACCAGGTGCCGTCTCCTGCATCGCACCCACCTGCCCCAGAGCGCACAATACTACAATGAGCGACATTGCACGGCAGTGGAGGAAGGGTGTTTCTAGCGGCTAGCAGCATGCATTTGAGCCTGTCATCTCAAGAAAGTGTGACTGAGTGGCCAAGCTCAAACGAAACGATGCAGTTCATCACCCTCCGTGGGACAAACCCTGCGGTCGCAAGCGCCCGCGGTCCTGTCACGGAGTCAACATTTCCATGACATGGGTTCTGCCCAGAGATTCGTTGAGTCTGGCACAGAGCCTCGTGCTTCGGAAGCTAGAGGAGCATTTCTTGAGGACGTCGGAGTCGACGCGGCTTGAGTCAAGCTGGAGGCAGTCTTGCGGCGTACTGAGCAACCATCATCGAGGCATCGAAGAACTTCTGAAGCCGCGATTACTAAGGGCAAGGCCTCTTGGGCACTGATGCTACGGAGCCATACCGGACATGAACAGCATCGTCATGGCCTCAAGCTCTCTGCGATGCAGCTCCTCTCGCAGTGCCTCGTCCCCTCTTCTGCGCTGCAGGATTGAGAACTCCCGCAAGTCGCTTTTGGCCAGGGAAAGGTCTTTGCGTGGTGGACCAGTGCACAGCGAGCCGTCTTGCAGGCACAGCTGTGCGCAGAGAAATGCACCCTTAAAGCCAGGTGCCTGACTCGGCACGACTCCATCGGGAAGGGCCTTTACACCCCATGCTTTCTGCAACAGGTGTTGAAGCATGTTCCGCAGCTCCTGACGCAAGAATTCCAGTTTCTGAGCCCTGGAGGCTGCTTCACGTTCTCTCTTCTTGGCCTGCCGCTGCTGCTCCTGCTGCTGCCTCCTTTCTCTTCTCTCTTGTCGTACTTTGTCCGTGGCCTCCCAAATAGGAATTAGCTCTTCCAGGTCAACTCTCTTATAGCTGCTCGTCGAACGCCTGCAGCGGAAACGAATACGAATAGCAGGAGACTGGGAGTTGGTCCTGCTCAAATGCATCTCGGCGACTGCATCACTGAGGGCCTCTCTGAAGCTACGACCAGATGCGCGGTGTTCGTAAAATCGTTGTCGCATTCGCACCAAGCTGATATGCATGTCAATGATCTTGTCCAGGTCCACGCTGCGTTGTGAGAATGCCGCAACCCCCTCAAAACCCACGCTGGTTGTGTAACAGCCGTCATGCTTGTCTCCCCAGATTCCTCGCCGGGGTTTCCTGCCTCGGCCTTGCAGATCGCCGTCTCTGACTGCTCCTTCATGGGCTTCTTCATCTGTAGCGTCGTCTTCATTAGCGATCCCACAGATGGTCAACAGAGGCTCGTTCGGCTCCTTTGGCGCTTCCTCGGAATGCTCCTCGCTGGAGTCAATTTCGCCGCCGGAATCGAGGAACTCGAGGAGTTTTCGGAGAACCTCCACAGACATGGACTTGATGCGTACGCGAAGTGCCGGCTGGCTCAGTGCGAGCAGCTCCCGCACCCAAGTGGCATGGTCCTTGCACTCTTCCGGTGGCTGCTCGCGACTGTCACTGGGCTTCTCAGCTCCAGGGCTGGCACGAGTTGCACTGCCGTTCTTGCCCTTTGCTTTCTTCGTCGCGCTGCGTGCAGCCTCTCCGGAAGCTCTCTTTGCAGGCGGTTGCGGCTCTTCGGCATCGTGGCCGCCGGGCCCTGCGACTCGGCCCTCCGTGCGAGTGGCTCCTGCGTTCACCAGCTGGATGTCGTAAGCTGCACGGCGCACGGGATCCGCAAGAGTCTCGAAGGCTTCGACCACCAGCCTGAAAGCCTCCGACGTGCCCCCCTTATCTGGATGGGTGGCAAGTGCCTGCCGCCTGTAGGCGGAGCGCAGCTCCACTTCGGCGGCAGACCTGCTCACGTTCAAGGCCTCGTAGAAAGACGGCATGGTCAAGTCATGAAGGCCATCAAGCCTTCTGTGCTGAACATGTATACTGATTGGCAAACTTTTCTGTACGTGTACTGCACTGACACAGAAGCCTAACAGCAGGACGCTCGCAAGGGTTCATGAGAGAACAAGCTTTCGCTGATTTATCGACTTCAGCCCCTCCGTGATCCACAACTGTAGGCCTCAAACTACATATACTGAGGCGACCTCTTCCGGACAACACAAAGCCAGATTGCACATGCTAAACCCTGACCCTAAACACAGAACGCGGCCACAAGAAGAAAGGCCTAAGGTGCAGAGAAAGATACAGTTGATGATACAAATCCTGCATTGCCTTAGGGACCCTAAACTATGGGAATAATGGTATATTCCTTATTATGGATAATACAGGACTTATGTCATCAACAGTAGTTAGGCGAAACCCAAGAGAAGGCTGCACACCCTGAAGCCCCTAAATGCCTGGAGTCCCAAATCCTAAAACCCCAGTGAACTAATCCCCCAGACCCAAGCCCCAAAAGCCTGAAGCCCTTCTAAGCCCTTGCCGAACTCTTAAGCCGCAAGGACTTGAGGAAAGCTCTTTGTACAAATGTAAATATATATATATATATACACACACACACATAGATAGATACATATGCCCGGGGAGAGAGAGAGAGAGAGAGAGAGAGAGAGACAGAGAGAGAGAGAGAGAGAGAGAAAGAGAGAGAGAGAGAGAGAGAAAAAAAAAGAAAGAGATAGAGAGCGAACTATCTATCTATATCTATATCTATATCTATATCTACATCTACATCTACATCTATCTCTATCTCTATCTCTATCTCTATCTCTATATCTATATCTATATCTACATCTATATATATATATATGTTATATATAGGTATAGACGGACAGATCGATAGATATAGCACCTTTCAAACATCCCTAAAAGCCGGCGGCCTCTAGTGGTTGGCCCACAGAGCGGCAAAAGTCCTCTCCAAGCGTCCGACGTTCAAAGCTTTCCCGTCCAATGTTCCCAAAGGCTCCATGTACCCATATGGGTAGTTGTCAAAATTAGGGTCCCTTTTTGGGTTGACAACCACCCATATAGTAGATACTTAAGCCTTAAAGGGGTCCCTATATAGGTACGTGAAGGCCTAAGTTTATGCTATAAGGGTACATGGAGCCTTAGGGTGTGAGTCTTCAGTTACTTGGGTATGATGCAAGGCCCTCCATTGGGGCTTTCTTAACTTTCAGCGCTCTCTGATTTGGGGTTTAAGGGATTTCTTAGCGGGTCCACACAGGCTTCACACACGAATGCCTGGACCCAGCCCAACACACATGCAAACTGTACGGCCAACCTTGTGAGTTCGGGATGTGGGCTTAGTTACTAGTTACGAGTACATTTCAAAAGCCTTCCAATTGGGCTACCGTTCTGGCTACATGCAAAGCCTAAACATACCGAAACCCCTCAGGGTCCATGTACACAAATTGCATCTACTTTGGCAGTAGCGTTCTTACATGGGGACTGCTTAAACAATGAGTTAAGGTCATCGTATATGATGTTTGGGCACATGGACCTTTCGGGAGCTCTACAATCCTCAATGCGAAGACGGCATGAGGGTTTGATACAACAAGTCCGCGAGGATCTGGGCATTTTGCGTGTGGACCTGAGCTATACGGATACATGTACGGAAAGCCCGGCAGGACCAAGCTCGTCAATTAGGACAGTTTATGGAGCCCAGTGCCCCTGGCGAATGGGGACATTTATGCATTTACCCTACAAGCTAAACCCTAAAATCCCTAAAACTACCACCACCAATACAGCAGAAGCCGGAAAGTTGGAACATTGTAATCCTCATCCCTTTCAGGTATAAAGTAAATAGTGGGAATCCTAGCAGTAATCATCCTAAATCCATGTTCCAACTTTCTGAAGTTCACTATAACGTAAGCCGTAAACTCCACTGCCGGGCTCATGACAAGATCCCCACCTCCGCGAGCCAGGCCCAAGCAGCCTGGCTCCTGCCAGCACCCCGAAAATTGCTGTTTAGGATTTCGGGGTTAGGGTTTAGTTCACTTTTCTTCTCCCAAATCCCCTAGAGCCCTAGAGACTCATTAGGGAAGCAGGGCTTCTGTGTTAGCGGTGTAGGATTTCGGGTTCGAGAAAACAAAGTTCAATCGTGGGGAACCCGGTTCGGACTAGAAGCTCCAACCATACTAAAAGGATCATGGGACTTAGTAACTAAGGTTGTTATTAGGGTAACTATACTTATAACTGCTTATAACCCCAATTAGGGTACTTATAACCATACTTACTAAGTCCCATGATCCTCCAAGTATGCAAAGTGATCGAGGGTTGCAAGGTCCGAGCCAAGCAGTGTCCACAAGCTCAAACCTGACGTATACAGTGCTGAGGACCCACAATCGCTTGCTTGTTTCCCATACCTGCATGAGGCCTTAGAGCATACCCCAAGGACCCGAACAAAATGCAGTTGTTCGAAGAACCATTGATGGTGCCGACCTCACTCCAACTTTTTGCGTAAACGACAGCACTTTCCCAGAGACACCGACTACCTACCCTAAGGGTCTAAGTATCCAATTATCATATACTCTCCAAAACAGTACCCTACAAAGCTACTATCATAAACCCGAGTACCCGATTATTGGGTCCTTTGGACCCTTAGGGCTAAGTGTGCATCCGACAGCCTCGGTTTAAAGTCCATCAGCCAGACAGGAAGCCCGACGCTCTAAACCCGACACTCGAAGCCCAGGGTGTCCACAACGCTGCCGAAGAAGGTGTCCCCGGACCTCGGAGAAGTGGGGATGCATAGCTACGATGGTGGAGGCCCTGCAAGACATGCCGATCAAGGCAATGTAAGAGACTAGTCGGGGACCACATATAGTCTCCATTGTAGTCACTTTCCTTTAGCTAACCGGTTTTATGGTCAGGATCCTAAACAAAAACTTCGATAACCAGGAAAGGGAACTACAATACGGACCTATGGGCCTATGGGGACTACAAGTAAGATACTAAATGTGAGATGTTCTAGCTTGAACCCCGGTAACCGAAGCCGACAGGTCTGACTGTGCTCCGCAGGCTTGACTAGCCTATCACGACGAGGCGCGCTGCAACAGGTCAAAGCTACACTCTACTCGGCGGTGTCCAATCAATAATGAGCTTCCGTGGATTAGCCCTCAGCGATACACACACACACTCATTACCCTAAAGCTGCTACCACTCGTCAACATCACTGCAATGAGAGAACCTAGGCTAGACCTCAGCGAATAAACCCTGATGGAAGCATTTGGTCTTGATAGCCGGAAGGAAAGCCCAAAATGCGAATCGCAACATTTCCCCAAATCCTAAACCTAAAACCTATAAACGCTAACCCCCTCTAATAGTCTAAACCTTACACCTAAACCCGCACCCTTAACCCTACACCTAAGCCCTAAAACCTAAACAGGGCCTGCGGAGCCTGGTCTTTGCCTTTCGGAAAACCCATGTGGGAGTTTCCGAAAACTAGGGGTGCCTTATTCCGGGGTCCTTAGAATAAGGATCCTACTCTTTAGGGTGCTATATTAGGGTCCCCTATTTTCGGAAACTCCCATGTCAGTGGCCGGGGAAGGATCAGGCTCAGAGCTTAGGGTTTGGGGCTTCGGGGCTTAGGGTTTAGGGGATTAGGGGATTAGGGTTTAGGGGATTAGTAGGGGCTTAGGGTTTAGGGGATTAGGGGCTTAGGGCTTAGGGGATTAGGGGTTGAGGGTTTAGGGGATTAGGGGCTTAGGGTTTAGGGGATTAGGGGCTTAGGGTTTAGGGATTTATGGTGTCTAATACAGGGCGCTGCAGCAGTTAGATTTTGTTCGGGCAATAGCAATTACATGCGGGCTACATGCAGTTACATATGAATCATTCTGCCCAACTTGGCAAGCCATCATTGACCCCTGTCGTCTGAAAACCACGAAGATGTTATGATGTTATCGCCTCGGCCAGTGCTACCGCGGTGAGTCTCTGAGTACTGGCCCTTTTAGAACGGATGCAATGCAGAACAAGCATGACGAGAGCCACTGCATCAGGAGTAGGGCTTTGCGGGCATCAACACAGACAGGCATAACATGGGGGCCTTAGCATGTACAATAGGGTGTAAGGGTACAGTATTATACTATCGTGTCATGTCATGAGGAAACCCCCAAATAGTATAGTTGATTACGAAGCCCCCTGGATTAGGCAAAGGTCTGAATCTGAAGAAGAATGGCCGTACGACGAGTAGCGAGGCTCAAGGGCCCCGCCTTCGCTCGGCGCTGGGGCATGGCGGGCGGACGTAAGAAAACCCAAAGCCAAGCGCCTGTCGGCAGTCGGCGTGGAAGGGCTCCAGGTCAGAACTTCCAATATCAATGACTGAAAGAATCGAAATATACCTTAAGTCATTTGAGGGATCTTACCTATAGTCTCCATTGTACGTAGTTTCTTCTCTGGTTAAACAAGTTTTTATTATAGGATCCTAACCATAAAACTGGTTAACCAAAACAAGGGAACTACAATGGGGGCTATAGGTACTATGATTTAAGGTATGTTCGTTAATGTTTAAAGGATATTGGAAGGTCGGGGTTGGATCGGCGAGTTCGTAGCGTTTTAGAGTTGTGCCTGCAGATAAGACTATCATCGGTGCCGATGTTCTTGCCTTTCTTTAGGGAGCGATCGTCCTATATGCCTATGGTGATACCTGATTCCGAACGATTGTTACGTACGTGATATCCGGACCCCTACGCTCTACAAAGCTGAGGTTGTTGACGCTGGAGAACTCGATTGTCAGCTAGGAACTCCTTCATATTGTACATATCGGCGACTACATGCACTCTACTTCGAAGAACTTAACCATTTGTCCATTGTGCCCCGTCCATATTGAAACGCTTTGTCAATTTTCTCAATGCCGTGGGTTGGCTTATTGCTGCGAACTAGGGTCTAAGGTTTACATAGGGTCTGCAGAACTTAGCATCACCTGTCTTTTTGCAGAGTCCATGCAATC